CTTATCACCGGGTTTTGCACTTACATCAGTAACATGACGACAATTTTAAGAGAAATGTTGAATTTCAAAATCTCAGCCAATAGAATAAAACTATATATTAAGATTGTGGAAATGAAAATACCCATATGTCACCGTACCACCATTCATTTTCAATTTTCTGTCTTAAAATCATCAAACAATTCTTAAAGGATTTAGAAAAATAGTATAACAATGTTGGAACATAGAAATGCCTTATCAAACAACTATCTACAAATAATTTTTTTGGGACAAAGATCTTTATTTGGAGTCCCTCTGTTCATTGGTCCCAATTTGAATACTAAGGTACTACAGGGATAAACCTGTTTATTTCTTCATGATCAAAAAAAGCATTGAAACTGAACAAAACTGCATAAGAATACTAAAATTGAAACCTAAAATAGATTTTTTATGCAAGTTTTGAAACCTACTGGCATTGAAACATATTTTGCTCAATTTATATACTGACAATTTATCATCCTTCTTAAGAAATGAAGTGAAATATCAAGTTGTTTTTTGTCCCTCACCAATGATTTCGATTTCCCTTTGATCTAGAGGAATGTGTTTGCATTTACAATTCAGCTTTGTCTGAATATATGGATTTATTTTGGTCATCCCGCTAATATCAAATATTGTTTTCCTCTTCTCGAAAAAATTGTGACTTAAAAGTCTGCTCCTTTTATCTCATTTTATTGTACTTGTCACTCAAGAGATGCATCACTTGAAAAAGCATCTCCCATCCAGAGGTGTGCATGGTATAGAAGCTAAAAGTGGTGCCTCTCCTCTGCACAGGTGGTGAAGAATAGTCCATCTGACCTGTAGTTTACCTTTGTAAATTATGTAATGTGATGGCTGCTATTTTTGGATTTAAAAATTTTATGTAATTCCATTCTATTCCGATGATAAAATCTGTGGAGCTGTTTCCATGAGGTTGCTTGCGTTTATTTCCATTAAGCTAAATCATCAGCTGGAATCAACCACAAGAGGTCTATTAATCCTTCGCAGACTCATTTCAAAACCCATTACTGAAACGTGACTTCGGGCCTGCGTCAGTGTTTAACTTAGATTCCCAATGACAGGCAAATCTGCAAATCAAAGTAACAATATCTATATGAGTCTTTTGCCGATCACACATAAGAGTCTTTTGCCGATCACCCATACTCGTAACTTTGCCAACTAACCCATATTTCTTAATCATCCGCCAGGTCACAGTTTCAGTACTGGATGACCACGTTTGGCCAGTTTACTACTCCTACATCATTTTTCCCGAAATTTTTCTGTTATTGGACATTTTTTCTAGACAGTGAGTTTAATATTTTGGCCTTATTTACTCTTTAACATGAATTAAAACAATACATTGATGAAACGGTGATAATTTATTGGTTATCTCTTTTATCTTTATATCTTTATATACACCTAGACAGGTGTCAAACTTCAAAGGCATATACCAGATATAGTTCTAAAACTGTCGTTGGTAAAAATCAATAATCCAGCGAGAAAAGTCAATCATCTATGCGTGGTATTTATTGCCTGACATATGACCAGAGACCTCAAAATAGTGTAATTATCCATGTTATATATATTTGTATATATTTCAATTTTTTAAAATCGTAATTATCCATTTTTTATTTTTTAAACGTTATCTAGTTTTTTAATACTTGCAAATATCCACGTGTAAGAGTAAAAAGGTGAAAAACAAGAATATGTGTCTTAAGGACACAATGCCCCGGTTATACTATCACATTTCCATGTGCATTAAGCCGCAAAATCTGGGTTATAACCTTAATTTGGCACATATTGCGAAAAGTTCACATCTTCATGTATATGTGTACTAAGTTGATACGACTACAGGTTCATGGTAAAATACCTTAAGCCAAACCATTGAAACTTGATACGACAAGAATGAACGCAGATCGAAAACATGCCTCCTAATATCGTAATTTTAGAGTAGGGTGGGGGTACATAATAAAATAAAAGGTAGTAAATGAACCAATAATTGAAGTTTACCCTGGCCACTTGAAGATGAGCTAAAAATAGTCTTTTGATCACTAAGTCGTAGTGCCCATAACGTTTAAAACGTTTCCATAAAAATTACTATTTCCAACTATCATTTTTCAAAAAGTTCTTTGAAAATTTAGTTCTTAATGCATAAATTTAATAACTCCATAGTTTTGACACCTTTATTTTATGGTCACTTGCTCTTCAAATCAGCACAAATGGTTCAGCTCAGTCACTTGTTCAAAATTGAAACATGTCCAATTTCATTGCAGAGAATGTTTTGTTTACGTACTATATTTGAGTACCAATTGTCGTTAACCACAATCCCGTCCTCTTTTCGCGAATACCACTTACAGAATTGGACTTATCACCGGGTTTGTACATTCATGAGCAACATGACGGTTGCCACATGTGGAGCCAGATTTGAAGATTTGCTTATCTTCCTGAAGCACCCGAGATCCCCCAGTTTTTGGTAGGGTTGTTGTTCAGTCTTTAGTTTTCTATGTGGTGTTGTGAACACTTGTTTGACTTTTGGTCGTTTTTTGTTTTTGCCATGGCATTGTCAGTTTGTTTTTGACATAAAAGTTTGATTATCCCTTTTGTAACTTCCGGCTTTTTTCTACTGGGATTGATTCGAAAGCTATGATTTTGTATATCAGGTTAAAGAACTTTGATCTTGGGTTTACCTACTGCAAGTACTTGTTGATACACCATGTAAAAATTCTTGAACGCTAATAATCCAATAGCTTTTCAATATTTTTATTTGAGGAAGGCACTGCTTTTCAATGTACGTGTAAAATCAATGTATCAATGAAAAGGACATAATTCACATGATTGACCAAACATGTTTGACAGGCAGGAACTGTAACATCTTTAAAACATTTTTTTTTTCTTCAAATTATGAAATATAATAATTTCATAATGCATGGGATAACTCTTGTGTTATTACATGAATGTAGTCTTTTTTCAGACAAAGGGGAATAATTCCAAAGCCGCAATACGCAAAAGAGTCAAATTCATTTTTTTTTAATTTTGCAGTCAAATACATTATTGAATACAATAGGATCTGAACAGCTTTCGTCAGAGAAGTGTTTATATGAATTATGTAACCAAGAACCTTATCGTTCCATTGTAAAATCAAGTTAAAATGAATCAATAAATTTTAATAATGGAATAAAGATTTCTGTTTTCTCCACACACTCTGATGCGCAATGTTACCAGAATAACAGGATCCTTCAAAAATGTTATACCAAATTTCAGACTAACTTGTCTTTGCTGTGCCATTAATGCATACTTTTGTCAATAAACTGCTTCGCCGAGGGCAGCTGGATACGACCGCAGAGGTCCAACCCTGAACAGTTGGGGCAAAAATGGACACAATATTCAAGCTTGATACAGGTCTGAATTTGGATTGTAATTAAATATTTGACACATTATAGGTTTCTGACACAGAACAAATATAGTAAAAGAACTTGAAATTGGTTATATGATTTGAATTTATATTCAATTGAAGATTTCTTGCTTTTGTGCAATGCACTGTGCTGTTGCGCAATACTTAGTAAATCTGTTTTCAGACTATATAAAAAGAATTAGCAAAATAAATTGTGACCCCCAATTTTTCTTTGGAAAATTGACAATTTCTTAAATCTTGAGGAAAAAATATTGACCCCCAAAAAAATTTTTTTTACCCCCTTTTCCCAAAAAAAATAATAATTTAAGAAATTTTCTTATTAATTTCTTAAATCTTGAGGAAAAAAATTGCCCCCCCCCCTTTTCCAAAAAAAAAAACATTTGAAGAAATTTTCTTTTTGTAAAATGTGGTACAATTTAAGAGACATCAAGTTATTGTCTGAAAACTAGAAAAATGCTTGTTTTATACCCTTTTTGGCCCATAATTCTGGAACAGATTGGGCAATTACCCCCAAATGAATCCCAACCTTTACTTGTGGTATTGAACTTTGTGGTACAATTTCAGAGCAATCAAAATACTTATACACAAGTTATTGTCCTGAAACTACAAAAAGGCTTGTTTTGGGCACCTTTTTGGCCCCTAATTCCTAAATGGTTGGGACCATCATCCCCAAAAACAATCCCAACCTTCCTTTTGTGGTTTTGAACCTTTTTCTTAAATTTCATAGAGATCCATACACTTAAGGTAGATCATAAGTGTATATTTTTTGAGATAGAATTTTCTTATACTTTGCCAGAATGAAGATTTTACTATGCTTTTTTTCAAAATTATAATAAAAAGTATGGGTCACCGTGCTATTTTTCAAGCTATGAGTCGTTGAAAATTGCCTTAATTTGGTTAGATTGTTCATGAAAAAGCACATTTGTGTGCATAAAAAAAATTCTATGAGATAGAATTTTGAAATAAATTGTGAGAAGATAGGTTTTATAATATGTTTTAAGAAAATAAAAAGAAAAAATGGTGTCACCGAACTTGTTTTCTTGCTACAAGTAAAAATTAAAAATTTCCCTATCAGTCTAGTATAATTTTTTACTAAAAGAGTTATCTCTCCTTAAATGGCTCATTTGAGAAAAATGATTCTAAAAACCAAAAAAATGATATTTGTTTAAATATTTTGTATAATACAATAATTCACCAAGTTTTCTTTATATAAATAAACAGTCTAACCATTAAATTGCAAATCTGTCTCCAAATTTGCAGATTTAGACAAATAACTAGACCCATTTTGTACTGCGATTGTACAATCCAAGATGGCGGTATATTAGAATCTACCTTAAACTAAAGTTATTGTCCGGAAACCAAATGTCTTCGGACGACAACAATGACGACGTGATAGCAATATACCACCCCAAAATTTTTTTGGCGGTCGTATAAACACAAATGCACTTGTGACTCAAAAAAAATTCAGATCAACATTCTTAAGTAACTGCACAGAAACAAAGAAATGTCCATTCTGCTTCTATACATTACAAACCCAAGAACCATTGGAAAACAAAGTTAACAAAAAAAATATCAATAAAAATTTAAGCGTTTTATTTGAATGTAACATAAAAATATCTCAAAAGAAACATAATGACTTCAGTAAACAAACAAGCACCTGTAAATGTAATAGGTAATGTAATGCATGTCAATTCTTTGTACTGCATATGTGTTCAGTCATATTATTTGTACTGCAAAGGCTATCAGTCATCTTCCTAAAACCTTTTACACATAAAACAATTAATACAATGGTTAGCTTCTTTCTTGCAACTGGTATATTTGAAATTGAGAAGTAAAAGGTCAGTTCATTCCATTCATTCGTCAGGAAAGTCTATTTTATGTTTAACCAAAACAATTGAATGAAATTACTGTTTATTGACACCAAACTGTATTAAGTACATTCACATTTTTTCATCAAGAGACTTTTTATAGCTAACTATTAGGTATGGGTTTTATTTTTCAATGAAGGCTCTACAGTTACATAAAGTTGTTCACTTTTGTAATTGGTGGATAGTTTCTGATTGACAATCACATCACATCTCCTTATTTTATATCTAGGATAAAGTTTTCAAAAAAGACCTTTTTTACTGTTACAAGACCAACAACTTTTTCTCAGAATTTATTTTAAATACATTAACTCGATCTAAAACATTAAAGCACACCTGGCTGTCTTTCAGGGATATAATCAAAATTGTTATTGTTGTACATGTCTATCAATTTTGATGAATTGCATTTGGCACCTTACATATGAATTTTAGATACAAGATGGTTTTGGTTTACAAGAAAGAAACTAATGAAAATATATTTTAGCAAATATAACTGTTCTTCCCAAACAATGAACACAGGCTGCAAAAAATTTTTTTTCACAATATATGAGATAACGACTCAGGGTTTCAAACTTCCAAAATTTAGTCCAAAACTGCAAAACTTTCAAAATAGTCTCATTTTGCAATCTTGGCATTAATACTTAGATATGAAACAATGGTTTGCCTGAAATATGTTTTGCTAGAAAATATATTTTACTCACAGGTTAATGTGTGTAGAATATCTTTTTGGATAAAGTCATAGCTCTTTTTTGTCCAATACATTTCGTGAAATATTTCCATTTTAAATCAAACAGGTCAATTTCAAAATGTTTATGAATTCACTAGTGACCTTTCTTCAGTTTGTATTGACCAGTTCATTAATCAATAACATTATCATAATCTTGAAAATATTCAAAATATTGAATAACTTTACCTTTTAACAATGTCAAGGGTTAATAATATCTCTTTCTTTCATTCTGACTAATGGATTGACTAGCAGGTCATTTGAATCACACTTAAAAGAACAAATTCAATTCTGACCAGTTATTGCATCGTTGATTAAAAACACAATTTGCATCAACTTTTTCACTATAAACCATCAAAATATCAAATACAAGGCTTAAAACATTATGACTGAAAATCTTCTCCTTTTCTCCATGCATACACCCTGATAAAAAACTGTCACATATTACTCGAAATATATTCTTAATTCATTCCACTGTTAAAAAAAACTATGAAAACTTAACATTTATATTTCCTTACTGAACCCCTGGTTCCATACCTACATGGATTTTTACATTCCAACGAGTCGGCACTATAAATGACAAATTCCAGCGATATCAATTAGCTCATGAGACCTGAAAGTTGTAACTCTTCAATATCCACCTTGTTATGTCCCCATCATGTCTTATTATTGTTAACCGTTGCTTATAGATGCTTATGTTACCAACTTGACAACAATTAAACAAACTTTGAAAACAATTTATCAGCTCATATTGATGCTATCAGCAAACCAAGATATGTTTATACAGAAAAATATCAAAATAATTTTCAAATACTCTGGTTATTTAAAGGGTGCAGATGATTTGTCTCGACAACAACTGATTAATTAATTTTGTGATCAGGGGATGTCATTTGCAATCCTCACATGCTCTGGATATAATATTTACAACAGAGGTAAGGGAAAGTTACAAATCTCAATAACTGATTGATATCTCTGTAGCCAACACAAGGTAAATACTAGATTTTTGCAAATAAACAAATTTACTCTCTTGAGGTTATGATATAATTTTTATATCTCTTTTCAAAGCATCTAAGTTTCAATTAATGATACAATATCTACTTCCCATAAAATAATAATCAACTGTGGAATTATAGTTGTCCTTTCATATGAAGTTAACCCTACTCCTTCTGCTCTTCCAGACAGAAAAAAACTATTTTGCCACCCAAAGTACAGGAACACAAATATTGTGAATGGGAATAATCAAAACAAACTTATATTGATTTGTGAGTACACTAAAAACATTCCAAGCTTAACTCAAAATTTATACATGAATTATACCAATTCCACTGAGAAATTCATCAAACTATACTTAGGAAAAGGAAAGGACTTCTGCAGTTTTCGGAGCTCAAATGACAGAAATTAGAAATATTTTCTATCAGTTTCTCTGACAGTTTTAAAGCCAACAAAAGAAAAAACAATATAATTCAAACTAATTCAACTATCATATAAAAACTAAAACATTTGTTCACTCCATTCCAGTAAATCTGAATACCTTTTACCAAAATTACCACCATCTTCATTCATGAAAAGGTTCAGTTGCACAGGTTTCACAGTATTTACATTACAATCTAACTGAGTCTTGTTATATATTCTTGACAGTACTCTTAGCCATTCAAACTACTAAATATGATGACAATAACTTAGATACCATATAAACATTACAAGTGCCCTGAATATAACCAGGCTACAAAAAATGTTTAAATTTCAGAAATAAATAATATTCATAAAAATTCTAATAGCTTATATAAATTTTGCTATCAAACATATTCTATGAAATGGTTAGAATTTCCTTTACATGTCATGACTTTGCTAAATCAGTATTGAGTTGTCCAACAAATGAAATCCAGAAAATATGTACTTGGTTATCAAATATTATAGATTAAATAAAATATGCTTAACTATGTCTCAGATAGGTTTGCCCTTTGATATTGATAATATTTATAAAATAAGAATGTGTCCATAGTACACGAATGCCCCACTCGCAATATCATTTTCTATGTTCAGTGGACTGTGAAATTGGGGTAAAAACTCTAATTTGGCATTCAAATTATGAAGATCATATCATAGGGAACATGTGTACTAAGTTTCAAGTTGATTGGACTTCAACTTCATCAAAAACTACCTTGACCAAAACATTTAACCTGAAGCAGGACAGACAGAACGGACGCACAGACCGAAAAACATAATGCCCCTCTACTATCGTAGGTGGGGCATATATAGTAGGTGGGGCATAAAGAGACCATTTTGCTATACATTTCAGATCAAGCTCAGTATAAATTGATCCCTCAAAAAAAATGTTTGAATTTCTTGTAAAGAAAGCAGTTACATCTTACAAGACCTCCTTAGCATGGTCATAGGTTAGCAAAAGAGGGTCTAAAGTGTTGAATTCAATAACTAACTACCTACCAACAATCAGTAAACAAAAAGTAAACATTTAATGTCCAGAAAAGGTAAAGGTCACAAAAAAATTCTCCTTTATGTATAATTTGAATTGCAAACACATAATTAATTTCAAGTTTAGTGTATTAATTTAATTCAAACTAAAAGCTAGTTGTTCATACCCTTAACAAAAACAAAATCAAAACAAATTTAATATCCATCAATCCTAACCTGATTACACTGTACTTAACAGTGTAAAATTGTAAGTTATCACAGTAATGTTCATTGTACTTCAAAAATATTTGAGAGTTACCCTGAAATGTAATATACCCTCTGCATATACATAAATACATTCACATTAAAATATACTTTTATATATCCACGAAAATACATTTTTTCCCAATCCACAAAAATTGATTCCCACTTTAAATAAATGAATCCTCAGTACTTAGTTTTGCATTTACGACACAAATGTTCTATTTCATTTAAAATTTGAGAACATATAATCATTTACATGTTATCTTTCAAATACTTTTGAATGAATTATGTAATCAAATTGAATGAACTCAAAAACAGTTTATCAATTAAATATTAATACTCATTTGTCATTTAAAAACAAATTACATTTTCAAAATATTTTGAAACACTTTGTAATGAGGGATAAAACAATTGTAAATGCAAAATTAATAGGAATATCATGTGTTTAATACATTGTATGTAAGTAGGGACTTCTATACCAAGAAAAAAATATCATCTAAATAAAGATTGTGTTGCAAAATGACATGGATTTCTTCAGCACCATACAAAAGTAGACAATTTTTCACGTTCTTGTGGGTAGGTAATTCTAAAAGTTTCCTCCTTGTGAATATTGATGTTCAGTTTTTATTCCTCCCCAATTTAAAATCTGTTTGTCTGGATTTTCATCCCAGTCCTGTTCTAGTTTCAACTGAAAATATAACAAATCAAATTATGAGACTTGATATATTATATCATTGGTCACTTAAAATTAAAATACATTATCACTTTCATGTTTTTTTTAAACTAAAAACTTACCTCAAAGGTCAATATCTTAATCTTAAATTGTTGATTATTTGATGAATACCATCCCATATGAGCATGCTATATATATTTTTTAAAAAACAACATATTTGAAAATCACTTAGGAGAAGCTCTACAAATGTTGATTGCAGGTCATATAAATGAATTATAACAAGGAACATCAATTAAGCAGGTATTTCAAGGTTTACATATACATTATTTTAGTGTCTTTGAATCCATATTTGGCATAATTTTTTTTTAAAGTGTAGGTTATACTAAGTTTCCAGTTGATGCAACCAAAACTTCATGAAAACTATATTAAACCAAAACTTAAACCTGATATGGAACAGACGAGTGGATGGGAGAACAGACAAACATACAGAAAGGAAAACATACTGTTCCCTCCCATCATATATAGGGCATAAAATTTGGTCAGTAAACTTGCTTTACGAGCAAAGCAAAACACTCATGACATATCAAGGAAATAATGTTATAAAATTCACTGATATTGTTTCCATCAGTTCAAAATAAAAAAAAAATATTTGCCTCTTCCCAAAAAAAGAGTCTAATAATAAATTTGGTAGTTTTCCTTAATCTATAAACCTTTTGTAGTCATCGTCTGTTGATGGTCCTTCTATTTATTATATAAAGTAATTCAACAATTAAAAAAAAACAAAGTTTGCAAATGTAACCATTTCTACCTATTTTCAAGTTCAAAAATATTTTTGAATGAATAATAAAAATAACTTCACAGTTCAAACAATATAATAATATAAATAAGTATATATAGAGTAAGTTCTGATTACATATATTTCATAGTTAAAGATAAATAAAATATAAAAATATCCACACCAAATAAAAGAAGACAATTTCATAAGAAAAACACAAATCACCATACTTCAACAGAATACACCATATAAATTGTCAATTAACAAATCTATCCCCCCCCCCTCTTTTCCAAAAGTTTGTTTTTGGTGGTGGTTTTGTTGGTAAAAAGCCTTTTAGCAGATGAAGCAGCCAAATAAAAACCACACAGAACAAGAACAAAATTCAAATGTAACTTTTCATCTCAAGGCTAGCATATTTTACAAGATTTCAGGGGAATGACTTGTAAATCAAGTTCAGAGCAGTTGTTACTTTCAATTCAGACAAAGTCAAGAAAAAGAACTTAAAAGTTTACACAAATTAATTTACAATATCGCAGTCAGCTTACAAGCCTCTTTTTCCTTTACAAAAAATTTAAGGATTCTGACACAAACATGATAACTGATAATAAAACCTTCACTTCAATGATACCAAAGTTACACAGATGACAAGGGAGGTAATTACAGATTCTGTAAAGCATTGGATTATAATTTGGATTTTCTAGCTGTTAAAACTATTTCTATCATCATGGTGTATTTCATTGTAACTTACTCTGAACTTTCTCTCATGCTGTGGATTATAGAAATTAAGTTCAAACCACATCTAGGATAAAGCAGCATAACAAACAGAAACATATAGTTTTCTATAATGATTATAAGTTATTCAGACCTGTCAACTTTCTTGATTTATAGGGGTGATTTCCCCTGAGAGGGACGTCAAATTAACTCATATGTTAACTCACTCAAAACCATTGTAAGTGAGACCCAAACACTTATGACAATTATCGGTTCTCATGTGCTTAAAATCACCTTTTAAGATTTTAAAAAGGTTGGCAGGTATGAATTCAACAAAGAAATGAAAAGGTAAACAAAAGTTCAAAAGGCAAAGTACAGTCAAACCTGTATTAATCAGTTACTCTTGGGAAGTATCAAAAGTGACCATTCAAGAGAGGTCAACTTTTAAATGAGGTTCCGAAAAAAATTCTGAATCTGACAAAGCCTATGGTCAAGATTGGGGCAAATTGTTTTAGCGGTTTCAATCGGTAGAGTTATGGTTCTTTTGTCAGAGAAGTAGAAATAAAATTGGCGGATACTGGCTGTAAATTTAAAGAAAACATTCAAAATATATTAATATTCGTGGAGAAATGAGTCGGTTATACGGTTTTTAATGGAAATGGAAAGGAGTGTAACACGAGGAATTCACGAATTCGACTCTTATTACACAATCTCATTCTGATTTTCATTAAACTTAGATACTGAACACATATATTATTCGTCATGATTATTTCAATGGTTAAAACATTGAAATGACAGTTGTTAGAAGTTGAAATAGGTGACCGCTGATTTGAGTTAAATTATAGAGAAAACGTTTGGGAGGGTCTGGAAGTGACTGTTACAGGCAGGTGACCGCTGAAACAACTGACTGTTAAGGCAGGTTTGACTCTAGTTCAAAGTTAACTCGGAGAAAATGATATTTTCTTCAGTTATAAATTAATACATGCACTTATTTAATATTTATTACTAAATATGTAGTAATGACACTTTTAGCATGGATTCCAAAATATGAAAATAACGAAACAAATATAACTACTTTTACACTAAATGAACTTGGACAAAGATCCAAGTCAGTTTCCCTATATCTGTATCTTTTTAACTGAAGAAAAAACAACCAAATATTTTTTAAAGCAATACAAAAAATTTTGCAATGAGGAATGTACTTAAGCTTCTAATACATGCATAAAATTTCTAAATCTAAATAATTTTACCATAAAGATACAAATATGAAGTTTGACTTTAAACAAGAAGGTAAATTTTCACTCCCAGAGTGTGATTGGCTTCCAATTCATTGAAAATGTTCACCAATTCATTTTGTTCAACAATTCATTGAAAATGTTCCCCAATTCATTGAAAATGTTCACCCATTCATTGAAAATATTCACCAATATTTTGTACAATTATACCTTTCTCTGTTTATGTTTTTCTGTTTCTTTTTTCTCCCACTGTTTCTGTTCTATTTGTTTATCCTTTGTAGCAGTTGATCCACAACCCCACACCTACAAAAAATGTATGGCTACATTTAATTCCATTTTCAAATTACCTATTATGTTTTCTGATTTTAGAACTTTTGTAAATGAAAACAACATCTAGATAGCTTCTGTATATAAAGCTCATATGGGCAGCAATAATAATTATCCTAACGTTGTATTGTTTATAATCTTGGAAAAAAAGTTGGCAGTTTGAAAATGGACTATTCTGTAAGCATTTGAAAAAGTTCTTACCATTACTTAAGTTTGAAAGTTTAACTATTTATAGTGGTTAAATATTTTAATTAACATGGTGATGTGAAAGAACCTATATTTTTTACCTGTAATTTAATAAGATTTCATAGATTTTCATTGACTTTGGCACAATAAAGAAATTGAAATTTTGGCATGCAAGTAGGGTTTACTTATTTTGCACTTGAAAGAAACTTTTGAATATTTTTCCATAGGTTTTACTATATAAAATAATTGTCAAAAAGACAACAACAAAAATCAAAATAAAATGAGCGATTAAATTTACAGTATTTATTTAGGTTGCAAACTGTTGTTTTTCTATTGAAAGAACAATAACTCTAATTCTTGTTCATATCAAATGAATAAATCCTGAATATGACTGAAATAATGTTACCCAATATTAACCAGATGCCTGGATAAGAAGGTAGATTGGGTGTTTCCCACCATCTTGGATTGTAAAATAGCAGTAAACACATTGCTTTATAAGGTTATTCAGATAAAAAAAACTTTTATTAAGGAATGTGTAAGGAATTTACCTATTTTGTTTTGTTGCATGAAAACCAGTCAGGTTTTTTTATTTTATCTTAAAATTCTATCATTTAGTTTTCTTTCAATCACACAAAATTTGGTTTCCTGATAATTTTGCACAACCTGTAGCTTGAAAAAAAGACCTTTTAAAAAAGGCATGATATAAACTACATTTAAGCAAATAATTAAAAATTCTCTCAATTTTCATGAAGACATCTACCTAGTTGAAAAAAAAAGTTGAAATTGTTGCAACTAAAATTAATGAATCTGCAGTAATTGCTATATGAAAAATTCTTACCTCTATTTTATTAATAGCACAATTAACTCCATAATGCTCCAATTTGTCAAAATCTGATGGAATAACTATAATCAAAGATTTTGGATCTTTTCCAACATGGATACCTTGTCTGATATCTCTTGAATATTCATTCCATAACACCATCGGTCCACTGGCTGAAACAAAAACAAAGCACATCCATGTAACTTTCACTATCAAAGCCTAACATATTGATTGAAATCAACAAATATAAAAATAAGAAGATGTGGGATGATTGCCAATGAGACAACTCTCCACCAGAGACCAAATGACATATATGTTAACAACTATAGGTCACCGTATGGCCTTCAAAAATGAGCAAAACCCATACCACATAGTCAACTATAAAAGGCCCCGAAATAACAAATGTAAAACAATTCAAACGAGGAATCTAACAGCTTGATTTATGTACAAAACAATGAACGAAAAATAAATATGATATACAGCAAAAAACAACAACCACTGAATTACAGGCTCTTAACTTGAGACAGGCACATACAGAATGTAGCAAGGTTAAAATATTTTGCTGATGCCAAACCCTCACCCATACCTGGGACGGTGGTGTAATAGTTCAACATAAGAACAAAAAGGAAACTCTTGAACATGGAAAAGGGCTTAACTCATCAGATCGATACAAAGCAGAAAACATTTAACGAAAACACAAGACCGGACATGTCAAAATATTTATACACCCCCACAACAAAAAAGACACTAAGTACAGATCTGAGAGTACTCACAGTTACTGACAGCTAGTTCAAAGCCAATAACAACTAATGAAAAAATCTAATAATAAAAACTAATAAAAACAAAAAGCCTGGAAGTCAAGTAGTAACCTCTGGTTGGAAATCATAAAAAGAATGTATGCATTGTAGTGCTTCACATACCCAACTCGTAATTCAAAGTCTTGAAAAACATGAAGTCGGTGTCTAACAGATCTGAAAAGTGCATGCACATTACAACTCATCAGTTTTGAGATGCTGACCAAATATGGAGTCATTCAGTTAAGTAGTATTGAAGGAAAGTGTGATGGAAATTTTAAGTTCATTCAATATATTAAGAAACATAAAGTATCAACAAACAGAATATAGGGATCTGAAATATTTGAAAAGTGCTCACATGTTCAACTCATTACTGTCAAGCTGCTAGTCAAATATCAGGCCATTCTGTTCTGAGAAAGGTTTTTCAAAAATATTTGTTAAACAAACAGACGGACAGACAAGATGATTGCTAAATAGCCCCTACTCCTAGAATGGAGGTTTAAATACAGTATATCTTTTCTATGTATTATCTCATTTTTCAAACATTATTTGAAACAAGCAGTTGACAGTGTAATACAAAAAATGTTTTGATACTCAGAAATAAAATTTATATCTTGAGCAAGTTATGTCTGATTTAATTATCTTAATCTTCACAAAGTGTATCTAAGATTTTTCCATCTTGCAAATTTGTTGAGGTTTTTGTTAAATCTTTTCACAGTTGCTTCAAAATACCAGCTAATTCAAACACATTTGTTTAGATTGATGAGTTATTTCCCTTGACACAATGTCAAAAAATATATAAATGGCATAAAGCACAAAGCAGGGTTTTCTAAAAATGACAGTTTTATTGGGTTTTGGTCAGTGGTAAAATATAATTTTACAAGAAATTAATAACTGAAGTATTTTCATAACTTGCAATCTTGAAAAGACAGAGTAAATGTCAATGCGACAACAACCTAACAACACAACCTTTATTAAAGAACAGAGTTCCAATGTCCCTAGTGTTGCACATATATTATCTATCCAAGGGCAATAAGTAAAAAAAACTTTTTTTTTGTTCTTTAAATTTTTTAATAATATCTTAAAGAAATGAAGGCTTAAGAGCAAATGCAATGCAAATTCCAATATAATTAATATTTCCAAGGGGCAAAACTCTTTAAAAAATATTTGATCGGCATTGATTTTCGAACCTACCGGTATCCGGGAATTTCTATATCCCCACAATGTGTTGTGCAGGGGACAAAAAATAGATATCTTTAGATTGAATCAAAAGCTGTGTAAAAAAGGTTAAGCTTTCACTCTGAAAATCAAGAACAACTTTATCTGCAGGATAGGAATGAAAACCTCTGCACAGATACTTGCTTATCAATCTTATATCTTAGTATGTCCTTCTGCATATCTAAACAAAAGTGTATACAAATTCTATACAGTTTATGAATAAAAAGTTCCTGATTGGAGCCAAAATATAAAAAAATGAATCATAATCCATTACAGTTATGTTAGCCTATTGTATTGAAGGCAGTGCTACCCAATTATTTATTTTTTGCCACTAAATTAACCAAATCTAAAAACATAGATTGAGACATTGACATGAGCAAGTCATTACAAAATAAATGGACTGAAGTGATAAATTTTATGGTCTTTAAATCACTAACCTTGTACTACTCTAAATACTGGTGTAATCTGTAATAACATGGTATCCTCTCCTCCAAATCTGTGTGTACCTTCCCTGTTAAGATATCAATTTAAAAAAATGTATTCACTAGATATTGATGAATAATTTCAAAATACAAGTTTCTATAAATACAGTCAAGACTGCATATAAAGGTCACCCTCAGGGGTTCAAAATGTGTAAGTACAGTGGGACAAGAAGAGGGTGACGTGATTAGACATGTTTTTGATTAATATAGGTGACCTTAATAGCAGATTTGACTGTAGAACACTATTTTAAGCCTGCTATTGTTTTGTGTATACTTTGAATTTGTAAAGACTTCATGGTGAATCTCAATATAACCAGATTTATGATTTATTACAAAACAATTAAGTTTCTTAGTGATATTTTCATGTTTTTCACTTGTTGGTGTATACCGAATGTTATCTATATAAACAACTCATTGAAATGTAGTATCATTTATTTTGATTAATACTTGATTTTTGTTTTTCTCTTTTTTGTTTTTTCCTTTTCCGATCAAAATGGCTTTCATATTTTGATGAACTAATTTTCATTTCTTTTAATGTTAATGTACAATTTTAAAGAAAACAAAAACAATACTGGACTCAAAATAAAATCAGCTATTAAACCAGTTCATGATCTGTTATCTTTTAAATATAATTGAATACAAGGAGATGTTGGTGTTTGTGCATGAGACACACACCAACTTCAAACCTACTTAAAATATACATTTTAACATCTTACCGCCATCCTGTATCCTCTGCTATACAGTATATATTTCTGCCTTCAAATGACAACAGTGTCATTGTGGGACCATGATATGAAATAACGTGATTTGTAAACCTGTGAAAAGAATAGGTAATTAGAATTGTACTAAATTCTAAGGTAATCAAAACACAGAAAAGTCTGAAATCACAAGGAAACACTTAAGGACATTTTGGGCTAAAATTCAAAACTAGAATTAGGTTATCTAGTGATCACAGATACCCCCACTTGCAGAAAACATTTCAAACATATATGAAATAAACTGTTAACACAGAAATGTCTTGCCTTTTTGTTATTTTGATCATAAAATGCAAATGTTGAAATTAAAATAGAAATACTTTAACATGCAAATTATGCAAAATATTGAAACTCAATGAACCACGACTAATGGCCAAACAATCTCCATGGAAATGAGATGTATAAGAGCATACCAAGTATCATTGAAATACCACAAGTGGTTCCCCATAAACTGACCTAATCACAAACTAATACATGTAATCTGAGCAAAAGTTTCAAAGTCAATAGACCATGACTGAGGGGGCAGGGCCAAATAATCTCCATGGAAATGAGATGTGCCAATGCTAATACAACTGCATACCAAATATCATTGACCTACCATAAGAAGTTCTCTATAAACTGACCTAATCACAAACTAATACATTATTGAAACAACATACCTATGTCTCGCTCTTAACTCCATCAGACAATACAAAAACCAAAATTCCTATTGAACATTGCCTGTATTTAATGTTTATTAACATCTAAAATATTTTGTAAAACAGTACTTTCAATTCAATATCACCTTGGCCACAAACTAAAAACAATCAAAATCTTAAGGTAACTCTTGAACGGCAAATGTCATAATCATTGAACTCTTAACATGACTTGTATTTTATGGTCCATGATATTGTGTTTAAGTTTCGTAAGCATAACTATATTTCCCCTCTTCGAGGCCGGTGTACAATAACTAAGAGCTAATTTCCTAATGCTTGTAGATTAAGACTTTTGTTGGCTTGTGTATAAACGTTGCTCAAGCATTGTAATCAAGATTGACATCTGCAACAATATAAATAGCCTGTAATTCAGTGGTTGTCATTTATTGTTATTTCTCATATTTGTTTATCGTTTATTGTTTTGTATAGTTTGTTCTTGTGTTGTGCTGTTGCACCATTGTCCCAGGTTAGGGGAGGGTTGGCACCAACAAACTAGTTTATCCCCACCACATTCTGTATGTGCCTGTCCAAAAGTCAGGAGCCTGTAATTCAGTGGTTGTTATTTGTTGCTGTTTATCATACTTTTTTAATTCATTAATTTGTACATAAATCAGGCCGATAGTTTTCTCGTTTGAATTGCTTTACATTTCAGGGCCTTTTATAGCTGCCTATGCAGTATGGGTTTTGCTCACTGTTGAAGACCGTACCTGTACGGTGACCCATAGTTGTTAACTTCTTTGTCATTTGGTATCTGGTGGAGAGTTATCTCATTGGCAATTATACCACATCTTCTTATTTTCATACGAGTTAAACCTGAATACATTATACTTAAATTTGTTTGGACTTTATTCTGGAGGTAAATAAAACCTCAGCAAAAGACAGTAATTGTATAATATTAATAATATAAACCTGGTGTTTTCACTGTGCTTGTCTCTCTGAAAAAGAGACTTCTTAGGTAATCAGTCTAACATGTTTAGGTAACATCTATTTGATCATAAAAAATAAATGTGGGTTTAGAGTCTAATCATTTAATTACCTATTATGTGAGAGTCCATCTTCACTACTGTTATATAATGATGTCCAGCTTTGACATCTACTTAATCTGGCCTGAAAAATAAAGATCCAATCAAATAGACTGTTATTCATATCAACATTTGAACTAATGTGGATTCGTTATCATTTACGGGATACCAATTTTAATGGATTTCGTGGATAAAGTTAAACCAGAAATTTTAAAGTTCAACTAAATACAATTTCCATATATGCTTGTATGCAGCACGATTGAAAACCTCAAAATTAAGAATCTACGAAAATACAATTTTTTCCTGAATCCATGAAAAGACAATAAACTTTCTGTAACAGTTTTATTGTAATTTCATGCTTCCTAACGTTTCCATTTGTCATTTCAAACCTATTGGTATATATTTATGATGGTCTCATTAATTGGACAACAAAAGATAATATTTTTGCTTTAATAGATTTTCCTTGTTTTCAACCAATATAATGTTTTAGTGAAGGTTTACAGATGAATAATCTAAAATACATAAGTATTGGGGAAATTCATGTCGTTCAAGATTAAGAAAGATGAAATCAGTTTTCTGCAGTTCTATCCCCTTCATCAGTTTTATACTTATATACAAAAGCAATGGTATATGCATGGAAGACAATACGAGTCAGTATGATATGCTATCAAAATTGGAAATACAAGTTTATAAATTTACCAAACCTATCCTGTCACTTTTTTAACAATAATAAAAACATTGCCAAGATTTCTTAATTTACAGTATCCAAAATCCAGTTCTGAGAAAACTTTACAAACCTATACAAATTTGTATCAATATCTTATGCCGTATATGAATACATGAGATGAAAAGTCAACATCAATGAAACAGAAAACCAACAACACAATAAAGACTAAATAGATCTTTTGATTACTCTCATATTTTTCAGCAAATGTAAGAAAATATAGTTTAAGTGCAAATCTGCCTAAGAATCAGGCAGTGTTGAAAACATGACAAACAAAAACCCACTAAAGTCGACATTAATTTATGTTCAAAATGTATAATGGTGCACAAATATAACATTCATTTCCTTTTCCTGTTCTGGTATTTCAAGATATCATTTGGTTGAAATGCACTTGAAATTAACAATTAAGAATTGACCTACCATTTCTAACTCAGGATGAGGGTAACTTGAAAATAGGGTGGTTAGGTTTTTTTTGTCACTTTATGAAATTCTTCTAAATTGCTTGATTCTTACAAAGACTGGCACTTTAAAAGTTAGATGCTAAAATTGTGACAGGATAGGTTTTGTTAAAATATAACTTGCATAATTTCCAATTTTGATAGCATATCATATGTATGTAGAATTTACTGAATTGCTTATAATTAATCTCTCATTTTTGTACATTGCATAGCAATTGCATTTATAAATGAACTTAACAATTGCTGAATATAAAGATTAATTTATTATATAACTACAATATGGCCATACAGAAAAATTAATTGCTTCCAAGACCAATTGAAAAAAAAAATATTTGAAAGAGGTTTCTATTCTTTTTAACTTGTGCTTTCAATAATCACATTGAACTTCAAATTAAACTTTTAACTATTAAGAGACATGTTTCATTGACCAAGATTGAACTTGTATTATTGGTACAATTTGACCTGGTCACAGTGCCAATCTGGTGATTGTATAGAGTAAAATAAGTTATGTTTACATTTACTAGAAAAAGACGTCTTTGCAAATGAATAATTTATTGATAGATGGCGTTGATTTTTCTACATAGATACCATAACGTTACAAAAACAACTGCTAATGAGTATAAATACATGTATATATCTGGCAGTACCATGAAAGTCTCTTTTTATCCTAAACAATGGTACCATAAAATTGAACAAGGAATTTCAGGATTTGTCGTTTAAAAAAAGCATAAACAAAACAGCTCATTTTTGCAGGTATTAGGATCCATAGCAGTGACAGAGCTTACAATAATTTTATTTGGTCTAGACAAACAAACAAAAAAGAAGCCTGTATATCCATTACTTACTATTTTCATAAGTAAGTTAAATGACGTCAGTAATGGATTTTTAAATTCAGACTGTTCTTCCTTCTGATCTATATGAGTGTAACTTGCTGGGATAACTGCCGACAATGACCATACCATTCCCATACTCATTAAATGTTTGTCTTGCTCAAACTTCTCAAGTTCTGGAACAGGAGCAGTTTCCTGTAAATAAAGTGTGTACTGATTTTAATTTGAAAAATTACGGCATGTTAAAGATCTAAATTAACTGCCAGTTTCTTATAATAGTCAAATATTAGCAAACCCGATTTTTTTCATAAATACTTAATTAGAAAGCATCTAGTTCACATTCAATCATATTTTTTCTTTAAATTTTCCAATTTTAAGTTCCATTTTGTCTCCTTTTTGTCTTACATGTAAATTACCTGTTCTGAAGGCATTTTAGATCCTGTCAGGATAGTATACACCCAATTGTGTACACCACAGTAAATATGAGGTAAGTTGTGATTGGTCCATTTCTTGAAGTCATCATAACATAGTTCTTCATGAGGTCCAAACTGAAAAAACCAACATATAGATCATAAATATAACCTTCTATGATTCTTCAACTCAAAATTACTCCAACTATCTCTTAAAATACCAAGTTCTGCTATTTCTATCAGATACAGATGCCATGTTGGGTGCCCTGCCTTCAAAGTCTATAAAAGACATTCTGATCCATTGCAAATTTTAAGATGAGATGGCCAATGGTAAAATGGCTGTGTAATCATGGTGATTCAATGTTTTAAGACTGGTATTAAAAAGTCCAAGAAGAAAGTAGTGATTACACAATATTTATACATAATATGAAATGTATCAAACATAGACATAAATGTGAATAAAGTGAGGTATCAAAAGAAGCTCAAGCTGGCATAAATGTAGGTCACAGTGACCGAAATATTATAGATACAATTTGTACTTTATTTAACAATCAAATCAATGTAAAAATTCCTGATGTACCCTCAAAAGACGCCAGAATGTTACTTACTGTGATTATTTATGATAAACTATTATTGATTTATCATTGATGATTTCTGAGAATGGTAGTCAATTAAAAAATATGCTGATTCTAGTTATGAGTGTAACTAAAGAATGTTTTTTACAAAGCTTAACAGTATTTTTCAATTATATAAACTGTTGACACAGAGATATGTCTTGCTTTTTTGTAATTTTGATAGTAATACTGCAAATTATGAAATCAAAATGGCAATTTTTAAACATATAAACTAACTTATGTAATGCATTTATACATTCAAAGTCAATGAACCATGACTAAAGGTGCAGGGCCAAATAACCTACATGGAAAAGAGAATCAAAGCACGAAAGCGCTGTAAAGGCAGTTAATTACAGGTTGTGTGTATTTTAAGTCCAGTTATATCATTATCTTGCATAGTACAGTGTACTTATCAGAGGTGGCTTTCAGTATTTAAGATTTAGAGTTCTCTAATGATATTGAATAAGTTTTATGAATGTCATATTTTGAGCACTATATGAAGGCGATTGTTCTCACTTGTTTATGAACTAGTGCATTATGTCCAGTTTGTACCTTTTTTATCTATGTTTATAGTCAAATAAGTTATCAAAGGTACCAGGATTATAATTTAATACGCCAGACGTGTGTTTCGTCTACATAAGACTCATCAGTGACGTTCAGATCAAAATAGTAACAAAGCCAAACAAGTTCAAAGTTGAAGAGCATTGAGGACCCAAAATTCCAAATATTGTGCCAAATACGGCTAAGGTAATCTATTCCTTGGATAAGAAAATCCTTTGTTTTTTCATTGGCAATCATAACACATCTCCTTATTTATATAATGATCTATATTCAACGACCTTAGGTACAAAAAAAATGTATGTAACTAAACTATGATGGGAAACCTTTGACTTCTTTCTTTATATAAACTTTTGATTTGGTACCATAGAACTATGTAGAGTAAATGTACATTGCAACATGTCAACTCTTTCAACTCCAAGCAAAATTATATTTCCAAGCATAAAGTAATTTATGAATGAAATAAAATGCTCCGCTGGGGCGCAGCTTGATACGACCGCAGAGGTCGAACCCTGAACAGTTGGGGCAAGTATGAACACAACATTCAAGCTTGATTCAGCACTGAATTTGGATTGTAATTAAATATTTGACACAGCATAGGTTTCTGACACAGAATGAAAGTGGTCTAAGATACTTAAAAAAATTTAATTTACCTATTCAAACCATATCATTATTATTTGCTTTTATATATAAATCAGAAATAACCAATTTAAAATGGAAAATTTTAAAGAAAAAAAAGGAAAAAGAATCCCCCCCCCAAATTTTTTGAACCCCCTTATGATTCATCACCCCAAAACTCAATCCCAGCCTTCCCTTTGTGGTATGGTACCTTGTAGTACAATTTCAGAGAGATCCATACACTTGAACACATGTTATTGTCTGGAAACTAGAAAAATGCTTGTTTTTTGGCCCCTTTTCGGTCCCAAATTCCTAAACATTTAGGGCAATTACCCCCAAACTCAAACCCAGCTTTCCCTTTGTGATATGGAACCTTGTAGTACAATTTCATAAAGATCCATACACTTACACACAAGTTAGGCCATGAAACTAGAAAAATGCTTGTTTTTTGCCCCTTTTTGGCCCCTAATTCCTAAAATTTGGAGGCAATTACCCCCAAAATCAATCCCAGCATTCCCTTTGTGATATTGAACCATGTGATACAATGTCAGAGAGATCCATAGACTTACACACAAGTTATTGTCATGAAACTAGAAAAATGCTTGTTTTTTGCCCCTTTTTGGCCCCTAATTCCTAAAATTTGGAGGCAATTACCCCCAAAATCAATCCCAGCATTCCCTTTGTGGTATGGTACCTTCAATTACAATTTCAGAGAGATCCATACACTTGAACACAAGTTATTGTCTGGAAACTAGAAAAATGCTTATTTTTGGCCCCTTATTCCTAAACTTTTAGGGCAATTACCCCCAAACTCAATTCCAGCGTTCCCTTTGTGATATGGAACCTTGTAGTACAATTTCATAAAGATCCATACACTTACACACAAGTTATTGCCATGAAACTAGAAAAATGCTTGTTTTTTGCCCCTTTTTGGCCCCTAATTCCTAAAATTTGGAGGCAATTACCCCCAAATTCAATCCCAGCTTTCCCTTTGTGATATGGAACCTTGTGATACAATGTCAGAGAGATCCATAGACTTGCACACAAGTTATTGTCATGAAACTAGAAAAATGCTTGTTTCTTGTCCCTTTTTGGCCCCTAATTCCGAAAATTTGGAGGCAATTACCCCTAAAAATCAATCCCAGCATTCCCTTTGTGATATGGAACCTTGTGGTACAATGTCAGAGAGATCCATACACTTACACACAAGTTATGTCTGGAAGTTACAAAAATGCTTATTTTTTGCCCCTTTTTGGCCCCTAATTCCTTAACTGTTGGTACCATAACCCCCAAAATCAATCCCCACTTTTCTTTTGTGGTATTAAACCTTATTTTTAAATTTCATTGAGATCCATTCACTTAAACTAAAGTTAGAGTGCGAAAACTAATGTGTCTTCGGACGACGATGACGACGCCAACGTCATACCAATATACAACCACAAAAATTTTTTTGCGGTCGTATAAAAAGGAGTTCTTAATTAAGAAATAAACTGATTCGCTGAGCGCAGCTGGATACACCCGCAGAGGTACTACCCTGAACAGCTGGGGCAAAAATGGACACAATATTCAAGCTTGATACAGGTCTGAATTTGGATTGTAATTAAATATTTGACATATTATAGTTTCTGAATAAATGTAGTCAATGAACTTGAAATCGGTTTTATGAATTGAATTTATATTTAATTAAAGATTTCTTGCTGTTGTGCAAAACACTGTGCTGTTGTGCAATACTTAATAAATCTGTTGCCAGACTATAAACAAATAAAGTTCAATTTCTTCTCAATGTCATATTTGAAATTTATGAAAATCAATAGGGAGATTACATCAATAGCTATAAATAATTCACCAAAGTTTCATGTGAACTGCTCAAAGCATTTTTGGGTTGTTGTCAAAAACTGGAAAATCCCCCCTTTTTTAATGAATAAAACCCCATAACTCAGAAATGTAAAATCTAAAATTTATAAAATTCTAAAGGGAGCTTACGGATTGATAATTTAGTCTTAGATGCAAGATTTTTTTATCAGTTGTTAGTGGCTTTGAACTAGCTGTCAGTAACTGCGAGTACTCTCAGATTTGTACTTAGTGTCTTTTTGTTGTTTGGATGTACAACTACCCGACCACGTCCACTTGTATTTGTATTTATCCATCTGATGAGTTTAGCCTCTTTCAACTGATTTTTATAGTTCTTTCTTATATTGTACTGTTACACCACTGTCCCAGGTTAGGGGGAGGGTTGGGATCCCGCTAACATGTTTAAGCCCGCCACATTCTGTATGTACATGTATGTGCCTGTCCCAAGTCAGGAGCCTATAAAAGTGTAATTCAGTGGTTGTCGTTTGTTTATGTGTTGCATATTTGTTATATTTGTTCATTTTTTTACATAAAATAGGCTGTTAGTTTTCTTGTTTGAATTGTTTTACATTGTCATTTCTGGGCCTCTTATAGCTGACTGTGCGGTATGGGCTTTGCTCATTGTTGAAGGCCGTACTGTGACCTATAGCTGTTAATTTCTGTGTCATTTGGTCTCTTGTGCATGTGTGGAGAGTTGTCTCACTGGCAATCATACCACATCTTCTTTTTTATATTTACATCAACAGATATAAAAAATTCACCAAAGTCAAGGTGAGACAACAAAACTTAGTTGTAAGATCTCTGAAATTTTTTACAGGGTACGAGTTTTTCTCATTGTTGGAGATTGTACGGTGACAGTAACACCTGTAACTGCTTAAACCCATTTCTTATGCACTTTAGTTTGATAAACTCACTGAATATCATACCACATCTCCTTATTTTTATATGCATTACAATTTACATGTGCATGTAATTGTAAATATATATATATCAGAACAAAATTCATTGCGTCACTTTTATTTATGCATCCTTTGGCACAATACAAGTTCTAAAATTACACAACATAAAACAACTAAATGTTATTTCAGATGAAAGTTTTGTTTCAGTTCCATTCATAGGATTTATTAGAATTTTGTATGTTTTGCCAAGTCCAATAATTCGCTCTTTGTGACATAGAGACATAGTTGACTAAACCACCAGGTGTCGAACATTCAAGAATTTTCAGTGTTTCTGTTTTTATTTGATGAAAAGGTTGCCTGAGCTCTAGGAGCTTTAGGTTTTATCACAGGATATTCTGTGCTGTCAATAATAATCCAAGTCGTAGGAAACTTTAATTTGAAGTTGGATGGTGAAAAATACCTGACTAAACCACTAGATGGCCAAGTGTTAGCCTCACACCACTGTTTAGACATAAAAACAATCCATGTATACACAATATTCTTAACACTAGATTCAATCTAGAATCTAGACAGTTCCAAGTTGGTTGTATGATGCCTCAATTTCATCAAAGTCATAAAAAAACTGATTTTCAACTGACACCCTATCAATTTGAAAATATATGTATCTCAAACAATGTGCTGCTGGACCAAGTGTGGTCAAAACAAATAAAAATTTAGTATACAACTCTAAACCGGTATAAAAATGCATGGCTGTGTCACGTGTTTTCATTTCAAAATTCTCTGCTGAAAACATAGGCATTGATGGTGTTTGCGTAATTCCATCTGTGAAGCTCAACATTAGCTCGGCAGTTGGTGGTGGACAGTCATAAATCCTTTCTGCAGTATGAATGACTTCTTCAGGAAAACCAACTTTACAATCAAAACTTTCCTCTAGATTTCTACTACAATAGTCATCAAGTTTAGTTCTTTTGTTTTCACAGGAAACTGCCCTGATTTTTCTTTTTGCGGATGATTCAGTCTCTTGCTTGGTCCAGGAAAATAGGCTGGGAATTGCAGTAGACTTAAGTCTCTGTATGGTGGGTTTGCGCCCTGAAAAAGGTTATAAAACATTAGTTTTTTTATAATTAAATGAACTTCCATTAGCAATGTATACTTTGTACTACCTGGCGAAATATTAACTAGATTTATTCATTACAATCTGGATAAAACTATGTTTGCCTGATTCAATGTATGTTATGTAAATCCAAAGGACAAAACATGAGAGACTTATGCAACAAACGTACATTGTTTGTACCTAAATAACTATAATATAGATGAGAGCATGTCATTGTTTTGTTCCTGTTAACATTGTCATTGATATTTTTCAAGAAAGTCTATGAGGCATAGCTTATGCATTCCTGTCATTACTACATTAGCATAATTACTGCTAAAATAATTCTCAGTAAGATATACCTCTTGTAAGAAATCATTATAATTGTAGCAATCACCAAAAAATCTCAAACAGATCACATTGAATCGTAATCCAAAAAATTATGACGTCTTGAATTACCCACCCCCTTTTATTCTAAAACGATAATTGCGGTTGTAAACAGACTTTGGTTTTTTCGCATGGCGATTACATATATAACTATATATTTCACAAAGAAAATAGAGTTTTACCATGAATAGTTTCCTGCACGTAGTCTTTTTCAGTAAAACGTGCCTTGCAAACAACAGCTGATTGAGATGGACTCCACGATATCATCGTGTTCTCGTCCAATCTGCGTATGGGCCATGGCGTTGATCCAACTTTTCCTTCTTTTTAAGTCATTTGGAAATGCATGTCCTCCTCTTAAATGACATCCAGGTACACAACAACAAGTACTTGGCATCGTTAATTAAAAATATAACTGAAATAGTTGCACAGTGCAGAAACCGGAAGTAGAGGAACAGGATCCGCTACCACGACGCCACCTATTCAGGAACGATAATTTGCTACTTTATATAACTGCGAAAATAACGTTAGACGGGTTCTTCTTCTTCTTCTTGTTAAATCCACACACGTGCATAAACAGAAATGCGCTTTAAATTGTATAATATAATTCATGTTCAGTCGACCTTTAATTATTATATCAACGACTGAAATGATTTATAAACATCTAGATTGCAGATAACACTCGAAATTAACCCGAGCTCTTTCCACACGGAATTCAAATAATTCTAGTTTGTCAATCGGTTGACTGCTTATAATGCAAAATACTAATATATCAAAAGTTTTTAAAACTAACAAAACACAATGATCGTTTCTCTATTTCCCAATGTAAATGAAATGAAACAAAAAACAATTTATATCGCAATAAGAAGAGGAGAGAATTCAACATTTCCGGATCTACTTGGAGTCTAATGACCCCCCACGTAGATAAGTTGGATATAGCGGAAGGAAGGATTAACCCGGCAACTAGAAAGGCATTAAAGCACTGCCTTTAAAAAACTGCCATTTTGATTTCATAATTTGCAGTATTACTATCAAAATTACAAAAAATGGGGAATGTGTCCATGGGATGCCCCCGCTAGCATATCATATAAAGTTATAAAGGGACATAACTGAAGAACAGTAAAAGTGACACTACCCAAATTTGAACTTGATCTGAGTTTTGTAGTAATAAGTATTGTGTATAAGTTTCATAAATTTGGTTGAGGCAAACTTAAGCTAGAGAACGGAAACGGTAAATTCAGCAATTTTTCCATTTGTAAAGGGCATAACTCTAGAACAATAAAAGTGACACCCCCAAAATTCAAACTTGATCTGTATTTTGTGGTAATAAGCATTGTGTATATGTTTCATAACATTTGGTTGAGGCTAACTTAAGTTAGAGAACGGAACGAAAAATTCAGCAATTTTTCCATTTGTAAAGGGGCATAACTCTAGAACGGTTAAAGTGACGCCATCAAAATTCAAACTTGATCTGTGATTTGTGGTATAAAGCATTGTGTATAAGTTTCATATTATTTGGTTGAGGAAACTAAAGTTAGAGAACGAAAACCAACTTTGGGACGTACGTACGGACGTACAGACGGCCAAGGGTAAAACTTAATGCCCCCTCCACAAGGATGGGGCATAAAAAGCAAGACATATCTCTGTGTCAACAGTTTATATAATTGAAAAATACTGTTAAGCTTTGTAAAAAACATTCTTTACACTCATAACTAGAATCAGCATATTTTTGAATTGACTACCATTCTCAGAAATCATCATCAACAATAAACTATGCCAATGCTTATTAAACTGAATTCCAAATACCATTGACTAATCATAATTGGTTCACTTCAAACTACCGTAACCTAAGCACAAACTTAACTTGTAAACCATGCAAAATTTCAAAGTCTATGAACCATGATGAGGAGTTGGGAAGATGCTGGAAACAGCACGCCTTAGTCTCGTTTTTTCGACTTTATAGAAGTGAGACAAAAAAAACAAGTGTTACACAACTAAAGATTGTACAAATACATGTAATCTTAATCTATTTTAATTTATTGAATATAATAGCCAGCAACTCCCAAAGAAATGTCCAATGTGATGTTATAATTGTGTACCCCCTGATTTGATGGTATTAGAATATATCTTTGTTTACAAAGTTAAAAAAAGGCATCATATTAGAATATTTTATCTTCGCCAAATGTTTCATTAATTCAGCTCTGCTGTAAAGCTAAGAATTGCACACATATTTTGTAAGTTGTAAGCATTAATAAAGCAAGTGATGAGGCTCCTTTTTAAACAAATACAAATAGCAATTACAAGCATCTTGCAAAATATGCTATTTCATTTGCTTTTAAATTGCTTTTTTTTTCAAAATCCGCATCATTTCTTAAACAATGAATCAAGTGTTTTGACAGATAATCTCCCTATCAGTTATGTAACAATCAACAGAAAGTAGCTGTGAAAAGTTCATACTCGGTATCATCGATATCATCAACATGGACAATAAACTATCAGTGGTGTATCTATAATTCTTGTAAAGAAAATAATATTATCTGATATTTACTTGATAAAAATTATTTAAATTCTTTCCTAGCTGTCAATATTGTTTTTAGTGATCAATCAAAACATCTCCTACTATACAAGTCCCTGAGGCTATACAGCCTGTAATATGACTGGATATTAACAAATAAAATAACCATTTTCAGTTCCTTTTTCTTAAGAGCATAGAAATTAGTTTGTAAATAGTTTTTCTCTTATGGTAAATTACCCAAATATAAACTACAATATTACTGATTGTGTTTAGCCAATAAAGTGCCATCCCATAGGGCAAATAGAGTTTTTTCTCAGATGATTATTATGGATATTGCTCTTGTGAGAGTAATTATGTAGTCAATACAAGAAAAAATACAGTCTACAAAATAAAGTCTTGAAGATATGAACAGTAATTTACTGGCACTGGCAAAATTTCTCTAGTCATTTCTAACATTCATTCTAATTTTAGGATCATAAATAGAGAAAAATTACTGTGAAATATTTAAAGTTGAAGAGTAATCCTTAAGCTGAATTCTTAATTTGATTTTTGGGGGAAATACCTTTCACTTCTATATAAGTTTATATCATATAGAATTACATACAATGTGTGATGAAGTGTGCATATATAGCTCTTATCCCAAATCTCTTTACAAATTATTTCTTTCAAGAGAGTTTATTATAGCAAAATGCACTTCCTCTGAAAATATTTTATTGGTGAGGGTTGTGCTCTCTATTATCATCATTATCTCTCTACATCATGCATATAATTTTTGATGACTAAAATAGTCCCATGTTTCGTGTGATTTTGCCATTTACCTAATTTACTATAATTTCACGGATGTATAAACTATAAAAAGTACTTTAATAAGAAGCAATATTTTATTATAGTAAATAGATTCAAAATTCAACTCTGCAATATAAAAGAATTTTGAAAAGGATTTGATTTTACTGCCAAATTGGCTCTTAATTGTACCTTCTTATTTCATATTGATTGATTGTTGGTTGATTAATGTCTAGTGGCAAATATTTCATGCATGTTCAGGACAAGAACAAATTCACAATGAATACAATAGGTAGGTTCTGTAAATGTCCGAATTGAAGTCAAGATCATTAAAATTTTGACTACCACTGGGAAATGCTGGGTTCATTGGATAGGGACCGAAATAAAGCCTTGCGACAGGCCACCTACAACTAGAGTTGTTACAAGGGTTCTTAACGTGCAGAGAGCATGGCACTCTCTTTACACGAGGCGTCAGATTTAATGTCCCCATTCTGACTGGACGTGGCTGCGTACTTGTACATCCTGCTCAGTCAAACTGACGCCCAACTTTGGCAAGGGTTTTTCTGGTAGTCGAAAGAACACCAAAGTGACCACATTTTTATTCCCCAGTCACCCTTCCGGAACTTATTTTAAAGAAAGTCAGCATACAATACAAAATATATTTAAAACAACAAACAACTAATCTGATAATCTGTTTTACTACAAGTGATTCATTAAAAGACATTCCTGTTGAAATAAAATGCTTCGCTGGGGCGCAGCTTGATACGACCGCAGAGGTCGAACCCTGAACAGTTGGGGCAAGTATGGACACAACATTCAAGCTTGATACAGCTCTGAATTTGGATTGTTATTAAATATTTGACACAGCATAGGTTTCTGACACAGAAAGAATGTGGTCTAAGAACTTGAATTTTTTTAATTTACCTATTATGGTCCAATGTCCAAAATCAAAATACATGGTTAGATTCAGCATATCAAAGAACCCCATATATTCATTTTTTTTAAAATCAAACAAAGTTTAATTTTGGACCCCAACTTGGACCAACTTGAAAACTGGGCCCATAATCAAAAATCTAAACACATGTTTAGATTCAGCATATCAAAGAACCCCAAGAATTCAATTTTTGTTAAAATCAAACTTAGTTTAATTTTGGACCCTTTGGACCTCAATGAAGACCAATTTAAAAAACAGGACCCAAATTAGAAATCTAAAAAAACTGTTAGATTTGGCATAACAAAGAATCCTAATAATTCAATTTTTGATGAAATCAAACAAAGTTAAATTTTGGACCCTTTTGACCTCAATATGAACCAATTTGATAGTGGGGCCCACAAATAAAAAATCTAAATACATGGTTAGATTCAGCATATCAAAGAACCTCATATATTCAATTTTTGTTGAAATCAAACAAAGTTTAATTTTGGACCCCAATTTGGACCAACTTGAAAACTGGGCCAATAATCAAAAATCTAAATACATGTTTAGATTCAGCATATCAAAGAACCCCATATATTCAATTTTTGTTGAAATCAAACAAAGTTTAATTTTGGACCCAAACTTGGACCAACTTGAAAACTGGGCCCATAATCAAAAATCTAAACACATGTTTAGATTCAGCATATCAAAGAACCCCAAGAATTCAATTTTTGTTAAAATCAAACTAAGTTTAATTTTGGACCCTTTGGACCTCAATGAAGACCAATTTAAAAAACGGGACCCAAATTAAAAATCTAAAAAAAACGGTTAGATTTGGCATAACAAAGAACCCCAATAATTCAATTTTTGATGAAATCAAACAAAGTTAAATTTTGGACCCTTTTGACCTCAATATGAACCAATTTGATAGTGGGGTCCACAAATAAAAAATCTAAATACATGGTTAGATTCAGCATATCAAAGAACCCCATATATTCAATTTTTGTTGAAATCAAACAAAGTTTAATTTTGGACCCCAATTTGGACCAACTTGAAAACTGGGCCAAAAATCAAAAATCTAAATACATGTTTAGATTCAGCATATCAAAGAACCTCATATATTCAATTTTTGCTAAAATCAAACAAAGTTTAATTTTGGACCCTTTGGACCTTAATGTAGACCAATTTGAAAACTGGACCCAAAATTAAAAATCTAAATACACTGTTAGATTCGGCATAACAAATAAATAAATGTGATCAAAGATTTTACAAATCTAATGCGCCATACTGTGTAATTAAAGATTACTTCTTAAAATTTTTCAATATTTGACCCCCCCCATAATTTCTTTTTATCCCCCCCCCCCTTTTTTCCCCCAAAAAATTCTTTCCCTCAAGATATGGTCATAATCTCAATTCAAATTTCCAACGGAGTTGGCAACCATAATTACCCATTTAAATTTACCATAGTGCTAACTTAATCTATTTTATAATAGAATTAAAAATATAGTGTCAAATCTTTCATATGGATTTTTTTGTAAAAAAAAAAGATGCAACATTTGCAGATATTTTTACTGGTCTTCCTTTATAAATATGCATTTCTTTAAACATAATTTAAAAGCAGTGTAAGGGAAGTAACCAAAACGTTGTATTTGGATTACCTCCCTTACACTGTTTTAAATTATCTTTATTGTTCATTAACCATTACTTTATACATAATTTAAAAGCAGTGTAAGGGAGATAATTTCAATGATGTATTTGATTTATCTCCCTTACACTGCTTTAAATTATGTTTTGTACTAAAGTATTTGTCCATTAACCAGGACAACCTTGTTTTTCCCCCTTTTTTGCACCTAATTCCTAAACGGTTTGAGCCATAACCCCCAAAGCAAATCCTAACCATCCCTTTGTGGTATGGAATCTTGTAGTATAATTTCAGAGAGATCCATACACCGTTCCACAGTTATTGTCTGGAAACTAGAAAATGCTTATTTTTGGCCCCTTTTTGGCCCCTAATTCCTTAACTGTTGGTACCATAACCCCCAAAATCAATCCCAACCTTCCTTTTGTGGTATTTAACCTTATGGTCAAATTTCAAAAAGATCCATTCACTTAACTAAAGTTAGAGTGCGAAAACCAATGTGTCTTCGGACGATGACGCCGGACGACGACGACGACGACGCCAACGTCATAACAATATACGACCACAAAATTTTTTTGCGGTCGTATAATAAAAATTGCTGAAGCAGATCCAAATAAATGTTGATAAGGTCATGAAGGTTTAATATTTGAATCAAGCTGAATCAACAGGCAGGACCATGACAATTTTGATTTTACCAGCTAACAATTTTTTAAAAAGCTTCTGTTACAACTAAAATAACTGACAATTTAAGTTGCAAGAAAATAGAATATCAGATCAGTGCCCAGTAACAAGTTCCACCACATTCTGTATGTGCCTGTCCCAAGTCAGCAGCCTGTAATCAGTGGTTGTCGTTTGTTAATGTATATATCATATTTGTATTTTGTTCATTGTTTTTACATAAATCAGGCCACTAGTTTTCTCATTTCTGGGCCTTTTATAGCTGACTATGCAGTATGGGTTTTGCTCATTGTTGAAGGCTGTTCGGATACCTATAGTTGTTAATTTATTTCTATGTCATTTGGTCTCTGGTGGAGAGTTGTCTCATTGGCAATCATACCTCATCTTCTTATTTTTATATTTACAATCAGATACTTACCATCCCATTAACAATACTTTCAAATACTTTATCATCATTAACACTTTTTGTATATTTTATACTGGAAGATCCAAGTGTCAAGCAATAAGATACATTTACCATCTGTAAACCATCTAAAAGGCAAAAAAACGAAAATCTTAATTCAATTTTGATACCACTTTTGCTGTTACCAGAGTTGCTATTGCCTAAACTTTAGTTTCAGCAATGTTTATAATCATGATAATGTTTACAAGTTCATTGTTTTGTATTAAATTGTGACCTTAAGTTTTGGTCTTTTTAAAGATGCTTTCATTTATATGCTATGGATTCTGGTCACTTTGATTCTGATTTTAAAATGTTCATTCAGTATACTATTCATGTCTTCATATACAAGACATAATGCCTTATAGTAGTAGAAACCTATTTAAGGACATACGATACAGTGACAGGGGAGGTAATGACGTCGCTAACGTAATATGTTATTTTTCTCGACGTCAAACTTTGACATATCGAGAAAAGATGCACTTTTCAACCGATTTTTATCATTCAGACTAAATTAACTTGAAAACGAGTACAGGGACCCCTCTTTTTAAAAATGACATTTGGCTTGATTATGTATGAATATTATTTTTGCCAATTTTTATGAACAAATCACTGATGAAGTTGTTTAAAATTAGATAAATATACCGCCAAAAAGCCGTTTTATTGATTAAATGCATGAAAATGCAATAAAAATAAATTATTTTCATTTACTTAGAATTGTTACACAAATTCGAAACACACTTATGTAGAGAAGATATTCCAGATGTGTTTACAAAATCTGCTTGCGTTTCTTTTTTAAAACAAAAAAGTTAGGTGTGTCTTTGCAAAGGATAGAAATGTCCAAACAGAGATGTCCAGTAAATGTCTAAAATTTCGACCCTATTTATCTCCAAAAGTAGCACATGAAGATATATTTTTTATTACATATTTGAATTAATTGATTAGGTGAAAAATAGCTTGTATGCAAACAGTGGGATCTGACAGGGTCTGGACCTGCATTGCTGCATGTAATTGGTTGTCAGAGGTAACATGTATACTGGAGCATAACTGATCATTCCCTTATATTAAAACCAAGAAAACTTTCATAAAGATTTTCCTTGTACAATGAGTGTTGTAAAATTAGAAACTATAATGGCAAACAGGAAATGGATAAGCAGCAGATGTACAAATTGCTTACTCGCTACAACTCAACATTATCAAGCTGCACACCAAATATTAAATTATTCCCTTTCATAGAAGTCAAGAAAACTTTCACGAAACATTTCCTTGTACAATGAGTGCCGTAAAATTTAAAACTATCTGCAACAGGGAGAGGCTATACTGCAGATGTGCAAATTGTGTACTCGCTACAACTCAACATTATCAAGCTGCAGACCAAATATTAAATCATTCCCTTCAATAGAGGCCAAGAAAGATTTCTTTTCAAACCCACAGAGTCAAGCTTTTACTAGACCTGTTTTCACCTTCAGCAACGTAGGTAATAAACAAATCACCCAAAATATTAACAATACCTGATGATTGTTGAAAGAATCAATTTAAAAAGGAAAACAAGATTTTGACAACAATTGAATTTGCATAAAATACACGTATACTTTTTAGAAATTCATTTCAGCTGTGGTGGGTTATTCAATCAATGAACCAACAATCTCTTTTCAAACTATTTATGAAACCATTAGTTGTAACTATTTACAATTTACTTTTCGGTAAACATTAGTATGTATAATTAACGAATTTCTTGTCTTGTTATTGTAAACATACTTCAGCACTACATCTGGTAAATTTCAAGAGTCCCAAGTGAAAATAGAAAATAATAAACAAAAGACTTTCACTGTTTGTGTATTTCAAAGGCACTCCTGCCAGAAAGATGATAAATGAAAAAATTCAGTGTGAAATCTAAATCTTCAAGCAGTTTTGGACCCCTGTCAGTCCATTTATAAAATTGGTTGATGATTTTTTTTATCTTGATTGTCATACAACAGAAACCATCAATATAAAATGTCTTATTTGATTTCATTTTTAATTGGTTATAACTTTTTCTAGATTTATTCACAAAATTGTCCAATCTTATTGAAATGTTGATCCTGTGTCCGTGCTTCGCTTACAAATTTCCTTTGCCGATGTAATAATAACTAAAACAGACGGAGAATGGAATGTTCTCAGATCCTTGTAAGCATTGAAGGCATCATCTGGACACAGGATCTGGATTATAATCAGCGCTAGACTACATGCCCACCAGCGTAAAAATCATCTCTATAGGCCAATAGAATCTAACTAAAATTTTCGTAAAATTCAGCTGCAGGCCTGTAGATTCAAAAGTTTATGGTGAAGACTGATAATCAGATACAAAAATGTCTGATGTTTTATAAAATTAATACATTGTATTGCTTCTCCATCATTCATATGACTTTACCTTAGTTTAACCTACTCTCATTTGAGTAATTTCTTGTTTCAATGTATGGACAATTCTTAAATACCATATACTGTGGATTCATTTATCTTTGTGGGTACCAATTTTTCATGGATTGAGGGAAATTTGTATTTTTGTGGATATTTGATTTCTTTGGTTTTGATAAAGTCTGCATTCAAGTCTATTAAAAAATTATACTTTGTTGAACATTCAAATTTGTGATTCATGTTGAACCACGAAAAATTGGTATCCCATGAATATTGTTTATGTTAGATATTTGATTCTTTCTGCTGAATTAATTCCCATTTTGTCTCAACTTTGGGCGAATTAGAGGTTGTCATACAAAACAACGGCTTTGTGGTATTGTCTAGAGATCCATATCCACATCTCCATTTAATCATAAATATTTTAACTTCATTTTCTTACCTTCTTTATTTAGGTAATCCTTTCCATCACAAAATAATTTGAAATAGTATTTATGTTGAGAAGGTTCATCAAACATTTTAAGGAGTTCTTTTCCAGACTTAACAAACTGTTCTTTAGTAATTCTTTCTCGATCAGAAGTACCGTGGAAACTACACATCTGTTTGTACAGCAATTTTCCAAAAGTATGAAGGGGTCCATGGAAAGCATTCTGAAAAAAAAATATTTACAAATAACAGGAATTGAAAAAAGTACCAAAAGCTCCATGAGGTAAATCAAAAAGAACAAGTAAGGCAAAGGTAAAATATGTGTGGTTCCTGTTGCATGCATTACTTTTCTGAAACATACTGCTAATTTTAAACAAGAAAAAAACTTAGTTCAAATAGTTTTTTTTAGAAAACTGCACATATATGTAAAGTTAGGAACATACTTAGATAATTTGGGTCGTTTAAGCAACCAAAATCACATTTATACTTTGTTTTGCTAAAATTTCTAAAGTTACTCAATTAGTAACTTTTAATCATCATCCTACAAGAAAATGGAAAAGAAAGGATAATTTTACTTTTAGTTTTTCAACTTATCAATAGCAATTACTGTGACATATGCTATGTATTTATAAAGGTTACTCGGGAACACGTGTATTTGTTTACTTTTAACACGTGTGTTTAAATCAAAACATGTTTATGTTTAATTTGATTGGACCATCAGTAAGTTATTACCGGTTTAAGTTATATCAATCATGATAACTTCATGCTAGAATTTTAGCGCTAAAATTATAATAAGATATCTAGAATTGTCATTCGAGGTTCGCCTATCCGACAGAAAGGTTCGTTTTCCCACCCACCCACCCCTTTTATTAAGACTTCATAGGAATGTGAATCAGTATGTTATGTAGAAAATAGTTGATAAAATACATGTATGTAAATCGAAATGATTTTTTCTTCAACTTATAGAACATTTTTCTATTGTAGATTGTGTTTATATGTGATGGCAGCGGTCGATGACAGCAAATTGGACATTTGTTTATTGTTTATAATAAAAATAAGCTTTCTGTGCTGTCGGGGCGAGCTGATAACCAAAAACTGTGTTGAGTTTTTACTTTGTAAATGCTTTATGTTCGTTTGAAGTATTGAATAAGAACATAATTAGTTTTATCATCTCATAATATATACTATCAATTAATTCCTTAAATTGCTAAAATTAAATTTTCTCCACATTTGTATCATTGGTATCATTGTATCTTCATACAATGCAAAGATGTAGATATAAGAAGATGTGGTATGAATGCCAATGAGACAACTCTCCATCCAAGTCAAAATTTATAAAAGTAAACCATTATAGGTTATAGTACGGTCTACGTATGTGTCTTCATCTAGCAAAGAATTCTCCTAAAATTGATTCTTGGGCTCTCTTGAACTTGCTGTTGACTATGAATTTTTGCTCAGTGTTGAAGACCTTAGTGTGACTTTAAAATGAAAAACACGAACTAAAGCACTGTTCCTTTGCTTTAGGTTTTGTTTTGTGTACCAGGTTCATGTTTACAGATGTACATGTTGAGTAAGAAGATGACATTAATCTTTTTGTTTCCATATAGCAATCTTTTATTGTAAATTAGTGAAAAATAAATGCTTCCGTTACTTATACAAAAGTAATAATTTTTTTAAGCATAACAAAATGACACAACATATATTTCAAAGAAGGACTCCATCATCAGTTATTTCAATGGGTATATAGTATCTACTCTAATACCTAATTTTATCCTTAAGGCTTAAAAAGGCCTGTAAAATAATAGTCTTTTTTCTTTTAATAATACTTCTTTCTAAAGTCACTGAACTGAAACATTTTTATTGGCAGTCACGGTTAACTTGAATTTAGAACATGTACTACAAACTGGACAACATTTATTGTCAATTTTAATGTTTAAAATGCTCATCTGTGAAAATTAAAAAAAAAAGAGTTTAATCTCATTTCTCATAGTTACAAAGATGTGAAACCTAGACAAAAAATAATACTGGGGCAAAGATTTAACTTGAATTTCACAACAATAAGACAGCATGAAAATTATCCTTTATTGTGTTTATGAAATATATGTTTTCCTACGAATATTCACTTTTTTACATACAGGTTAATGATACACCCATTTGGGACTTAAATTAAATCTTTTACTCTTCAAGTTTTGACCAGTTGATTCAGGTTTTTATAAATCAGGCATTGTCATGTGTTAAATTTGAGTCTAATCTTTTCAGAATATTTGATCTCTTGCTCTCTGAAGATTTTTATTAAATCATTATACAATGTATAAGAGAAAAATAATTTAAAAATTATTACCCAACATCAACATTCCATTGTAAAATTATGAAATTTTAACATACATTTTTAAAGTTAGACAATCTATAACTATCTCAAGGGGATAATTTTTTAATAATCAAGGGGATATCATGGTAAAATCTATCATGTAACATTTTCAAATTAAAAATTGATATCATAAAAACAATAAACTGTTTTCTCAATTTCTTTAAATTTTAATATTTTTTTTACGAGTATGGAATGATATAATACTACTAGTAAGTAAATCATATAACAATAAATTACAATAATATTTGATAGATACAATCAAAGATTAATGAAACTAATATTTCTGATGGCAATCTGTTGCAGCCATATAAATTTATACTATACATCATACGAAAACATCCAGCTGCTGTTTACAAAAATAAGATGTAAAATGATTGCCTATATCAGAACTTATATCCACCAGAGACTAAAGGACGAGGATATTAATGACTACAGGTAAAGGACGGCCTTAAACAATGAGCAAATCCCATATTGCATACAAAGCAATAAAAGTCCCAGGCAGGACAAAATGTGAAACAATTCAAAAGAGAAAACCAATGGCCATAATGATCAACAAAAAAACAAATATCTAAATGCAACAAAAACTATACATATTTCAGGAGCTTGCATTCTCCAGTGGTTTTCGTTGGTTTCTGCCTCCCATTATCATTTGTCGTTTATTGTTTTTACTATAACTCAGTAAAATATATGTTTAAAAAAAATTCTTGCAAGTGGTGATTCTATTCTATTGCACCCCGAATAGGTTTTAGAAAGAACAAAGCGTTGAAATTGAAACTATTCAAGTGGAACAAAGATAAGTTTAAGGTATAAAACACATCAAGCAAGCTGTTCATATACACAGTCATTGATTTCATTATCTTTACTACAATTCTTTTTAATTGATATAAAGTCTTGTATATAAAATTAAATTACAGACTGAAATTGCATAACTCCTGTAAGAATTGTGTTATATATAGAATGGGGTAAGTTTAAAATACCAATTGCTATGTCGTTCTGGTTAAATAGGTAAGAACAATGTAAGAATAGCGAATAGTCCAGTCCAATTAAAAGACAAAATACATATTAAGACCACTAAAAATCGACAAAAAACATTGTGTAAATTAATCTTGTGCTTGTCCGTAACATTTGAAACTTGTTTTTCTTTTTTATGTTGTAGAGTTTAGTGGTGAAAAATGCTTTATATGAGAAGTATAGAAAATAAGCCTTCCCATGCATCACAATGCTAAATAGCTATGAAAGATATTGTTTTGGTTAAGTAACTTTTCAAAGTCTTGATGTATCATTTGTATCCTCAGTTACTCTGACAATTCAGAAATTATACTTATTTGTTGAGAAACAGTTGATCTTTTTCTACTGATTATTTGTATAACAATTTATTGATATCTTCTGAAACACACTTTCAAATCTTGTGATCAAATATTCAATATCTGCTAAATTTATAAATTTACAAAGAGTTAATAATAAATTAACCTCTGAATGATAATAAGATTTTAGTTAAAGGTTTCGCCCATTTCAAAGCAATGTCTGTAGCAACGTCAATCTATATCAATAAACTTATACTAGATCATTTTGATTTTAGAGTTACATATTAGACCACTGGTTGACCATGCTGATTGGAGTAAAGAAATATGGTCATCATGAACCAGACTGTTCTGGAAAAGTGGTGGTCCGAAACTTGAAGGTTTTAATAATAATGGACACCAAAATTTTACAAAAGACCGAAACAATTTTGGTATTTTGCAATAGAAATATATTTAGTGAGGACCAGCAGATTTTCTTTAAGGACCACTATGGAAAAAGGATTTTGAGAACTCTGGTCATCTGAACTTCCGACGTCCAGCAATATAATGTGTCCTGAGTGGGCTTCCAATTAGTGGGATGTATAAATATGCTGCCAAGTCCTGTAGAAATTTGAATGTTTAATCAGTGGGCAGTGCATGATAGGAGAGTCCAATGATGATCCATGTTATATGTTATTGATACCTATGAAAAATCACTTTTTCCTATCAACTGACCCTGTAAGTTTAATGACATAAAGAGTCAATATAAACCTTAGTCCAATAACAGTCATGTTCAATGTCATATATCTAACTAAACAAATATTTTGTCATTAGAAAATAAAAGGATATGGAGTAAATGTACATGAGACAAAATCGCACACAATACATAGAAAACATATGAAATTATCAATGAACAGGGCTTGTCATTACACAACAATGTCAGTATCAAGAAGTCTTTTGTACATTATTTAAAGATATATGTATAGACCATAGCGATTAGTTTAAAATTTAGAGAAAAATTAACCATATAATATAATCATCAGTACTTTTATGATTCCGACTGTAAAGACTCATGTGTTGACAACCCAACATGCCCTTTATTTACATTGGCAGTCCTGAATATGCATGAACTATTTGCCACTGAATGTTAGAAAATAATAATTGAACATATATTATTTTGGATGATTCCCTGTATGAATAATGAAATGTACCAACAATAACCTCTCTAAAAGGTGCATTACTGAATCAAAGCAAATGTGGGTTTACCATTGAAGCTATTTATGCTTCAGGGTTGAATTACTGTAAATTCAGAAATTACTGCATGCATTTATTATTGCAATTTTTCAGGAATGGACAAAATTGCGAGTATAATTATTGCGATAACAAAAAAATCTGCATAAAGATCTATGTTTCAGTTATCAAAATGTGAGTTCTTATTATTGCGATACTCACCCAACACAATGCCCAGTCGCATTATATAATAAAAACCTCGCAATAATTTCTGAATTTACAGTACATAGGAAGTTGATTTTGGTGTATTTTGTGAGCTATTCTACATTAATGATACTCCAGCTAT